CTAGTTTAAGGTAGTTATAGTATTGGCCGCGGGTGGACGGGACGGGTTTTCCCCTCCACCTGCCATAACGGCCAGCCGCGAGGAGGAGACGTCCGCGTGTGGCGGACCTTGTCTAAATGGAGAATATACCCGAAGATTGTACCCGCGCCATTGCGGGCAGGCGCTAGGAGGGGTCCGGATATCTTAATAATAGCGGTTCTCGGATCTCTCCTATAACAGGGGCAGAGTGGCACACCGTGTGGTTTTAGTCAGTCCGACTCCGACACACCAACCCGCCGCAAACCCCGGTCGGGTAACGGTCCAAAGGGGGTTTCCACACGTAAAAAAAAGGGAGTTATTGTATATCGATATCTGGTGTAAAATATATTATTATTATCTAGTTTCCAACTAAAGATAGATTACTGATAGAATACTTGAATACTTTTTTCTTACATACTTCTATATTATTCTATATTATTATATTATATATTCTTCTATATAAACTTTTATATTTCTGTTATTCGAAGTAATCACCCATGCAATCGACGCATCTTTGCCAACGCATTGGCAGTTTATTGAAGCCCTTCTTGTAAAAATCAGCTGGACGGGAGGCAACAAACTCTTCAAAGGCATTTTGTACTGCCTCTCGGGAATTGAATTTTTTACCTACTAAAAAGTTGTCTAAATTTTGGAAAAAGTAATAGTCGGTAGGTGCAGGGTCTGGTGGTCACATCTGCAACCAGCTTTGGTCAATCGGTCGTCCCCACTGCTCCTTCACGACAACGCGTGACCCCATACTGCGCAACAGACAGTCTCCAAGCTGCAAGAGCTGGGGTTGGAAGTTCTCCCTCATCCGCTATACTCACCAGACCTTGCACCTACCGCATCAATAAAAGCACGGCATCAATAAACTGCCAATGCGTTGGCAAAGATGCGTCGATTGCATGGGTGATTACTTCGAATAACAGAAATAAAAAAGTGAAAAAATAAGTACTTTCACTTATTGCATACAAAACGGCAATTACATAGGTAAAGACCTAATATTTCGTAAAGAAGTACAAATCTTATGTCAAAGATTGATTAACTGTATTAACAAATTCGTGGAATAATCATTTCTCAACCTTGAAAAATTCTCACTTTGTACATTTCTTAATTCATACAGACTTACAAAGCTCTGTTTAATTAATCGATTAGACCCTTTTCCTGTGTTCTATTATCACAGTGCAGCGAGTAACATTTCGTGGAATAATGTACAATTGAATAATACTGTACAACGCCAAGCCCTGATTCTGTATGACCACGATAAGCTATTGGCAAATATCGGGTTTATATTATAGGAGAAAAACTTATAGTGCAGAAGGGTAGTCACAGCACCTTGATGTTTCAACCCATTTTGATCTATTTCGGAGGTATTTGTTCATTTTTTTATACCATACAATACAACGGCTTGTTGTATAACGACTTAGATCATCCCGAGAAATTAACTATGTTTATCAAGGAGACAAACAGGGTAAGTAAATTTCTCGGGATTATTTTACACCCTAACGAACTTTTTCTAAGATGTGAAATTAGTAATGAATAAGTAGAATTACAGGGTCCCTACTTCTGAATATCTAAAAATATAAAACTAACGTTTGCCCACGGCTCCGCCCGCATGTGTCGTTTATCGCGGTTAAAAGTAGTCTATAGCACTCAGAGATAATATACGTTTCTAACAGTGAAATAATTTTTAAAATCGGTCAAGAAGTACCGGATAGGTACAGTTTGGATTACCCCTACCTATGTACGAGTATAACATTAGTATAGATTATGCAATTATATTTACGGGAATTAACGCACTCGCGCCAGGTATTAAAGTACATTAATACATTGAATTGCCTGACGTTTTGACCAGGTAACACTGGCCGTGATCACAGGCTGACCAGGGCTCTATAGGCTGAAATCTATACTGACACAAACGGCGTAATGAGCTCTCTGGACCACTGAAGTTTAACTTTGAAAATTTTTCTTATATTATTATTATTTTCTTATTTATTTTTACTAAAATAAGACACGATTAAAATCAAGATATCAAGAAAAGTACCACATCATGACAAAAATAAAATACAGTCGAATTGAGAACCTCCTCCTCCTCTTTCGTGTTTTAAAGTCGATTAAAAATAAAGCTAAATTCTAAAAAAATTGGTACCTTCATTTAAAATAGTAATAAGAAATCTATTAGTAGATCAAGGATCAAGTAGTAATCAAGGTTCTCGATCAACGGCTCGTTGGGCTATTGAACGCGAAGGTGGGTCTCACGAACGCCGGCCGCTCCACTGTGGGACCCGCAAAACCTATACCACTCGTAAATGTAACTTTACCCATTGTACTGTTATGCTATTGTTTTAAAGGCATGTTTTTGTAACAAATTCATAAGGTGTTTTACTTGAATTGTAGAGGACGTAGTCTTTCTGTAATAGCGTTATTGTTACATAGCTGACAGATACGAGGAAAAATTATTTTACAATTAATTAAGTTACAAATGTCTGAATTTTCGAATTTTTAAAAAATTTTCCTCGAGGAGCAATGTAAACACAACTATCGATACATAAAGAATGGGAGTGCCTGTAGGCTAGAAAGGATCCGGATATCTTAATAACAGCTGTGACCGGATCCCTCCTATTTCAGGCACAGAGTGGCACACCGTGTGGTTTTAGTCGGTTCGATTTCAACTCAATGCCCCGCCAGTGAAATAAAGGTCAGAGAGGGTTTCCACTTGTAAAAAAAATTGAGGGTGAGTTGAAATGGTTAGTTGTGAAATATAAAACTAAAATTAAGCAATGTATTTCAATAATTATCCAAATTGTTGAATATAACTATGCAATATGTACATTGTCGGATATATAACTAACACTCAGTAATATGATTGTGTAAATAAACCATTTTATTATACACTATACTAATTATAATCCTAATTAATGTGAGCTTGTTCGTTACGCTTGTACGCCTCTCTTACTCAACCGATATTATTGTTAAATTTCGTATATACCTTATCTGGGTTGCAAAAAAGGATTCTTATCATTGTTCTAAGCATAAAAACCACTGTTTTCAAAAGTTAATTAATGTATTTGTTCTAAATTAACTTTATTTTGTTATTTATTTGTATATATTTGTAGAAATCTGTATTGTTGTTATATATTTGTAGAAAACTGCAATGGACTTTTTTTAGATTAAAGATGCAACATGCACCATTTTGATTAGTTTAGTTACGGAGTAAAAGCTAACAAACATACAATAATACCTCACTGATACCATATTATTGGCTCTCATAATGATATGCCGTAAGACAGTGTAAATGATGTTAATTGAACTTCATAATATAAAAAAAATATTCCATTGCATGATTTTGAGAAGTGCGCTGAAAACTTCTTTTTTTTCTTGTGACCTCATTAACAAAATGTACAAAATCATGCCAATTACTAATGAAACGAGTTCCGTATCCTTTGTACCATATTTTAAAGAAATACTTAATCATTAAAAACGAATAGATAAGACAAGTGATAATATCAATCAGATAACATTAAAACCACAGAAATCGTAATAATAGTGTTTTATTATTACGATTTCTGTGATTAAAACACCACCGCAGGCGCAAACAGCGGCAATAAAGCTACTGAACCATTTCCTCTTTATCTACATGTTAATAGGATACCCATATATGATATTATTTAAGATTTACGATTAATTGGTTGACTCATTTCAATTTTATTTTTTAAATTAGTCCCTAGAGTTTCTTGTGGTAACGGATTAAGAATACGGAGTGACTGACACCGTATTCATCCCGTGAGTGTCGTAAGGGCCCACTAAGGGAGCTAACTACTGCTACACTGCGAAGAGAAGGAAAACTTGAAACAAACCTTATGCCAACCCGTCTGGCCACTGTGGTATAGTAGCCAAAACTACTTTTTAAGGATAGGTCTATGCCCAGCAGTGGACTATTAAAGAATGTTGATGATGATGATGTACTGTTACTCGGGAAGACCATTTTTATGGATAAAATGTCCGCTATGCCATTGTCTGTCCCCTGTAAACTTGTATGATCTGTTGAGGGGGTACGTTACAATATCCTGACAAACTAACTGATGCAGTTATAATATTACTAAAGTATGAATGAAGCATTTGTAGACTCGATGGGTTGTGCATAATTACCGCTGCATTCACACGTCAATTTTTCAATTTCTGTGAAATCACAAGACAAATGTGTACATGTATAACTGAGTATTATCTTCAATAACCCCATAATCAGTAAACAGCTTAATAATAACTATGTTATCTACCTAAAAGTTTCAATGTTACGTCCGTTTTAACCATTTTTATTGTGATTTAACCCCGTTATTTTTAAACTTCTAAAAAAATCATATGAGTTCTGTTCCTGCCAATAAAAGATTTCGCTCTTTTCTTAGTGATAGACAAAGTAGGAAAAATTGAGTGACCCAGATTGAGTAGCTACCGACAATATGTAGGTATCTAAGGAAAATAATCCCATTATTAATTATATTACCTGTATAATGTGTGTATATTTTGAACAAATGGTTTTGAAAAAAAACATTTTAAACACATTTTTTGCAATTTCTAATTAATTTATTCCAAACCCGTGTTTATAATCCCAACATATTAAAATGTTAACACATATCCAAACAACATGTGAATTTCACGGCAGTTAAACATGAACACACATTTCTGTAACACCTGTAGAAAGACGATTTTTTCAGCTTCAACCTGTATAGAGTCTTCCTAGAAAATCATAATATTTATTATGTATTTTAGCAAGATTCCCGGTTTTAAGGAATTTCCGTCTAAAGCCAAACACCACCGAGCTTATTAATTTATTAAGTGTCGCAATAAGTGGAGGCGTGTCGGTGCGCCGTGAGGTACTCACAGTCCGCATGCGTGCTCTAGCGGGGGTCGCCAGGACTACTTATATACTGCGCAGGCGCAACTAAGGGATTAGTGTTCAACTGACCATACAATAAACCACAAATATGAAGTCTGCTGTAAGTATATCTTTTTGTACATTATGTACTACATATTATGTATTTATTTTATAAATATTACATGCGTTAAAATTAATTTTCATTTGTTTAATTAATTTTTCGACTTTGTACAATTCGCTCCCCCTTAGATGAACCCTTTAGTAAAATTTTATATTCATTAAAATTGTTGTTAAATTTACGGCTTTGTAGCTGGCAAAGGTGTGTTAAGTTTATATAATATTTATTTGCTAGTAAAGAAAAGATCTCATAAAATCTTTTTTGTCATCCAAAGTACCAATTTCTCATGCAATCCCTGTGTATTGAGAAAATTATCCACGTTCCGTAATAATAAATTATTCCATATTTATTAGTCTTGTATTTCCAAAGGAAAAGCTTCAAAGGTCCAGGTTCTTTTGCTGTTACTTTCAATGATAATCTTTCGTGTAGAATTTTGAAAATGACGAACTGCCATGCAACTAGTCACCGCTTATTTCACCCCCTTAGGGATGAATTTCCAAAAAACCTTTCTTAGTGGGTGTTCACAACATAAAAGCATCAGATGCCGAAAATTTTAAGTTTGTAGCCTCAGCGGGTAAGCGAGTAATCTTAGTAAATTACTCTACAATTTGAATGAAGCGTGAACAGTAAGCAAGTAAATATCGCGTATAATAGCGTACTCCTTCCTCTAAGGCTGTACTCCTGAGCTGCAGGCGTTCATGGCCGGGGTAAGCGCTTTCCATCAGGTGAACCGTCTGCTCGTTTGCCGCCTAGTCCATAAAAAAAAAGTTGACCTATTCTTCAAAATATTAACTATAGTGTTCATCACACCTTGCTGTGTGTTTCTTTTCTATATAAAAATAATAGTAATTTACGTATTTAAGTTATAAATATCTAATATAAGTTTTTCTTTTATTTACCAAACTATGAATAGACAAATTTAATATATTATTTGTGCAACCACGGCATCATATATTATTTCTACGTTGACTGGTAGACTCTTTGTACACTCTGTGCATTAAGTTTAAATAATATTCTTAAAATTTCGGGCTTAAATTCTCATAATGGCCACAGTCGACCTTACTCGATTTAAGCAAGGATTTTTAAAACATTTAAAATAAAAATTGTCAGGGGAGTTACAAAGTATTTATTTTATCCACCACCCTGGCAATAAGCGATGGTGTATTATAAAACTTATGAAATTTTCAAATCCAAATATTGAACATTCTGCCACAACAGGTAAAAATTTACTTATTATTTTTACTTAATACAAAAATCGATATCGAAAAATATCGGATAATTGATAGCTTGTGAATATGCGTGATGTACAAGAAAAATCAGTAACTGTACATCATTATAATTTTTGAGTCAAATTCGAAAATCGATATTTGTCTTTAAAAGGTAAAAAATCATCATCATCATCAACAGCCTTTACTAGTCCACTGCTGGATATAGGCCTCTCCTTAGAACGGAGGTTTTGGCCTACTACAGCACGCTGGCCAGACTGGTTGGGATAGGGTTTGTGTCAAGTTTTCCTTCTCTCTGCAGTGCTGTTGTCCTGCGTAGTTTGCTCCTTTAGTCGCCTTTTACGACACCCACGGAATGAATAGGGGTGGTGTCACTGTATTCTTAATCTGTCACCACACGGCGGTTAAAAATAACTAACATAATCTTGTGTCCGATATTAAAATTGATAATTAAGAAAAACAAAACCCATTTAGAACAAAAATACGAATGTCTTGAAATATTAATGAAATCTAAAGTTGACGTCTCGACTCTCGACCAGCGGCACGAGCTCCTATTCAAGTAATTCAAAGTATAAAGTAATAACTATTTATCCATATTAATATGTAGGTATGTTTAAGACAACAGATACTAAAGAGTCATGGACTTCACACACCGATCGGCTAGATCAGCATTATTAAATTTTTTACTAAACATTTTCAGTGCGATCGGAGAGCAATCTTTCCTCAACATCATTATTTTATATTCCCTGATATTTAATTAAGGGAGTGTTCTGATATTTCTTGGACGTAGATTTTCTATGTTTTAGTCCTCCAACTCGCTGCAGCAAAAGTTTTTATTTGAATTAAATTTCTTTCAGTTGTGTTTCCTCGTCCTGGCCGTAGCCTTGGCTGCTGGTGCCGAAGAAAAGAAGAACGAAAAGCGCGGTCTTGTTGGCCTCGGTTATGGCTATAGCGGCCATGGACTGGGTCTGTACTCGCACAGTGCACCGCTCATTAGCCACGGATACGGACTCGGCCATGGTTACGGGATCGGCCAAGGTTACGGGATCGGCCACGGAATTGGGCTCGGCCACAGCATTGCTCTAGGACACGGGATTGGCCTCGACCACGGATACGGCCTCGGTCATGGATACAGCGGTCTCGGTGGATACGGTAAGAAGACTTAATGACTTCGGTCAGAAGTACCACTTATGTTTTTATTTATTATAATAATAATAACACCACAATTCTAGGATTTAACTAAAACTAACTTGAAAAAATAAATTTACCTTCCCCCATATTATATACAAATCTCATAATAAGTGCAAAAAGATATTCGTACGATACATGTATTTGCGATGAACTGGATTCGACACAATCGTGGCAGCCGAACGCTGCATATAGTACTAGGTATATTAATCATTGATCTAGAGCCCATATTACGATCTATGCTTGCTTTGGGTACAGATAGCACTGTGTTATATGACCCTATATAATATGCAAAAACACCTCTTCCATACTATGTTAGTTAGTGATTAGTAACAAACTTAGCGAAATGTTGTTACTCCTGTTTTGAACTTCTACAGGTCACGGTTACGGATTAGGACACAGCGTAGTGGCATCAGCTCCGATCGTGTCCCATGGCTACTCTGCCCCCCTCCACTACGGATCGTCTCTGCTCGGCCTCGGTCATGGGGGATGGCATTGAGTGCCTCGGCTTTAGTGTCTAGTGCCAAATTAGTAAGTTTCGGGTGTACATTTTGTATAAATTCTACTTTTGATTAAAATGTTCTTCTCTATATAAAACTGATGGTTATTTTTCTTTCCTTTAACATAAGTTGCATCTTGATACCATATGATATCTCCAATAATAATATTCGTTAGCGACTCTAAAGATATTATAGGCTCTGGAAGTTTTGTTATGACTATGTAAAGACTTAAACAAATATCAAAAAACCTATATCATGAAGACTCGGAGTCTATAGTTTCGGACAGTTGAGAAATATACATATACTATATTATAAAAAGGCCTATGTCCAGCAGTGGACTAATAAAGGCTGTTGATAATAAAAAGGCTATACATATACATATGTATTTATGTACAAAATGATCCGTGAACACACTGTTCGATAACTTACAACATAGCTACTAAATCACCTATGCTGCGCCTATGGCACTTTTTATTAAATAGTTACGTAATGGTTCCAACTTATCTGATAAAAACTTACAATTAAGACTTTGGTGGTATTGTCTATTCAAGAAATCTATTTACTCTCCACGTTCTAAAATTATTACGTCAAAATCATCATGTATTGTTAAATTATGCGTTTTAATAATTCAAAACTGAAATATACGAATGAATGCTTGAAATAAATCTGCCAAAGGTAGTCCTGTGAGTCAATATTGACTAGAATTTCTTATATGCAATGTTCTACTTAGTTTTACAAAGTAGCGTCACTTCGCAACACTGAGTCACCGTTCGCGGGTCGATTGATCGCAATCTTCCATTAAAATCATGTATTTCCACGATTAACGATTAAACCAGTAATAGGTGGTGATGTCGCAACCGGAAGCTGCGCCGCCGGAACTTTGCGAAACTTTGTAATGTCAACACCCTGACGATAATCTCGTTGTAACTGGCTACTGATTGCTACCTGCAGATATGAACATATTGACTGATACGCCGGAGGTGGGTGGGTTCGATTCCCACCCAGGACAAATATTGTGTGATGAGCACGGTCATTTGTTCTGTGTCTAGGTGTTATTTGTCTATATATATATATATATACTTATATATTTTTAAATAGATACATATGTATCTATTTAAAAATATATAAGTATGTTTATCAGCAGTCTGGTTACCATAGTAATGGCTATGCCTAGTTTGGGATTAGACGGCCGTGTGTAATAATATTTATATTATTACTAGTATTTGCAAATTATTGGTTTTCCATGTGTAGTAAACCTGATTAAGTGGCGTGGCCCATGACTAAAAAATTTCAACGATGTAGTATTTGTTAATTTATATAAAAATGTACGTCAAAGGTTACTTAGGTAAGATATTTAATTAAAGGGTAGTAATTTGGCATAATGTTAAATGTTTGAAATAAACTACTTACAAATCTTTTTTATATAAACAGCGAAAGTAATGCGATTCCAACATGTTTAACCGACATCAAAATCTTCTTTTTGATCTTTATCTAGTAATAATTTAAAATATCAAAAACCCGACTTCAAAAAGACAATTTAAAAGTAATGCACTAAAAAGACCGAAACAGCACGAGGTCCGACCCAAACATGGCCCATTTTTTCGCTATCATAAACTTTTTAATCAATTTATTATTCTATATTAAATTTAAATATATAGTTTATATATCTATTTGTAATCCCCTTTTAATTTTCTTGGTTTTGATATCGCACTCGATAGGTTTGGTTATTTTTTTTTTATTTACCTAAAAAAAGTAAAAATCCGTATCTTTCTTTTTTCCCAAAAAGCCATTTAAGGACACTTGTGTTTTCGAGACGGATAAAACAATACCTTAACTATTGAAATCCATCTAGCCATTCTGAAGATACAAGGTAATAAAGAAAATTACAAAAAAACATACAAGATAAGAAAAACATAACCCTTCCTTGGCAGTCGGGTAAAGAGATTGTCTACAAAAAGATAAATAAAAAAAACATTTCGTTTTTAATGAATTGATAGTTCTTAACATTGTATCCATTTAAATTTGAAGAAAATAATGAAGAAGACACCTAATGAAAACCTATCATAATCTTTTTAAATGGCTGTCAATAACTACGATGTTTTTATTTTTAGTTTCTAGAAAGTTTATTTTATGTTGTTGGTATTAAGAAAATAATAAAATCAAACAAAAATAAAAACAACGCAAGACACCAGCACTTCAAAAAGAAGTAAAACTTGACACAAACCCTATAACAACCCGCCTGGCCAGTTGGTATAGCAGGCCAAAACCTTCTTTCTAAGGAGAGGCTGGACATAGGTCCAGCAGTGGACTAATAAAAGCTGTTGATATGAAAGAAAAATAAATTTGAAGTAGGTAATACTTTAAAAGTCTTTTTCACGTAATTTCTATTTACCAGTTAAAAGTAAAAAAATATAACATACCCTCATATCAGAATTACTTGGCACCTAAACTAGGTTATAGACCACACCCACGTAACGTATTCCATTCTTCATTCCAGATCCAGTTCTCGGTTTCCTCATAGGCGTGTGCCCGACCACAGATATGCTATATACATAGAGCGCTGCCTGACAACTGCTCTACAATTTCATAATTCCGCCACATATTTGTCAATACTTTCTACTTCCTTGTTAGAGGCTGGCTGAGGTTGCCCGCAATGACGCCAGTGCAAGTAGCAAACGCAACGACACTTTGTGTGATCCACAAATTGTTGTTCTGAGTCTGGGTGTTCTTTGTGTCCGTTTCATGTATGTTTGTAAAGTCCCCCGCGACACAGGATTTATTCATAATGCGGGCGTTGTCTTTTAAAACAAGAAAAAAAAAAAAGAAAAGAGGCTTGATTCCCACCCAGGACTAATATTGTGTGATGAGCACGATCATTTATTTTGTTCTGTCTGTGCCCGGTTGACGGCAAGAGGCTTGCCCCCGTATTGTCGACGGAAAAAGATAATGGGCAAAATGTGGGCTATACTAAAAATACTACTTTGTGTACCTCTTCGGGGATAAAAGACGTGAATGTATGAGTGTAAGATGTATGTAGATAAAGTTCTTGAAGATTTTCAAATGTAAAATAAGGCAAGCATACATATGTAGGCTATTCAAATTTTTCTGCCCTTAAAAAATGTTAGTTGAAGTCGACGCAATGTTTAAAATTGCAAAGGATTTTCAATGGTTTCTTTTACGACCATTTTTTTGTTCCGTCAGCCCTTCTTGAAAATTTAATTGTTTACAAAGCGGAAAAAAGAAGAAGGTAAAGGTTTCATATAGAAGAGTTAGAAACTAACAAATAGAGCAAAAACAAATTTTCAGATGTCAATAAGATTATCGAGGCACCATATAATTAGATTCGATGTGACAAATTCATTAGACATGAGAAGGGAAAAAAAGCTTAAAGGAAATTATGTCAAACTAATGTGAAAACGTAGAGAAAACATAATTATTACACACTGGAGGAAGAAGAATTAAATTGGCCACACAAACAAAAATAATCAAGTCTTATTAGATGGATGGAAAAAATATTTTTTTTAGGTGTGTCGTGCCGCGAGTGATACCAACAACACGAAACGCTTAATATACACCATATTCATCAATCATAATCATCATTATCAACAGCCTCTACTAGTCCACAGCTGGACGTAGGCCTCTCCTGAGAAAGGAGGTTTTGGCCTACTATACCACGCTGGCCAGACGGGTTGGTATAGGTTTTGATTCAAGATTTCCTTCTCTTTGCAGTGCTGTTGTCCTGCGTAGTTTACTCCCTTAGTCCACTCTTACGACACCCACGGGATAAATAAGAGTGGTGACCACCCCTTACTATTATAAAGCTACGATAAAACAGCAGCCCAGCAGACAGTAGACTACTAGGTATAAAAACTGGGACCATTTCGCGCAGTTGGTTGCGACACACCATGCGCAATAATGTCTTGTCGCGTTCGTACTACATCTACGCGCGTATCTAACAGAAATCTGCACTACTTAGGGGACTAATTAAGTTGTCAGACCACACCTGAGCTAAGAATTGTACCAAGAAAGTTTGCCGTGATAGGTCTGTATTTAAGTGTTGTTACGAAGTATTTAATATCTAGTTAGTTTAGATAGGAACGCTATACGTATAATAAACTAACTTGCGAATGAGATTGGTCATACCTATTATGTTACGTGCTTGCTACCAAAGTAAACTAGGTAGCGTGATGATATAGTTTAAAATGCATTACCACTTTGAATCTATCGCTAAGCCTGATTAGCCGAATCCCCGCCTCGTTCGACAGTTATCAAATTGCTGAAACGATTTCTTGCGACTTGAATTATCAAAGGTAATGATTTGGATATAACTGTATTGACTTTTAAATAATGAATTGTAAGAGACTTCGGCACTAGCGTCGTCTGAGTCGCCTTTTTTTTTTTTTTTTTTTTTTCCGTGCGGAAATCCCCTCGGATACCACCTGTCGGTGGCATGTCGGACACGAACCGACTAAAACCGCACGCCTTCGCCGGGTACTAATAGCCGGGGAACCAGGTATACCCTAGAAAGGAAGTCCCTGGTGCGTCTGAGTCGCCTAGATTTAAGTAAGATGGGAAGTGTTATTGTAAGAATTTTCAACTTTTAAGTTCTTTGGCTGTCACTAGTAATTCCTGTTTAAACATACTACCTACGTAATTACTCTTTTTATTCAATATTACAGATCACCTGACAAAAGTGAAGATGAAAAAGGATATAGTACACGCCTTGCCAGGAGAACCTAACTAGACTGCTCTATAACGTTGTATGATTGATCACGAGTACAATTTAACTGCAAGGATTAAGTGGTTTAAGCGGTCTTACGGTGCCGACTGTTGTGGGTTCAAACCCCACATGGGACGACACTTTTTGTGATCTACAAATTGTTGTTCTGAGTCTGGGTGTTCTTTGTGTCCGTTTCATGTATGTTTGTGAAGTCCCCCGGGACACAAGACGTATTCCTGATGCGGGAGTTGTCTTTTAATAAAAAAAATGTCTAGGAAA